ACTGTGCCCACTTCCAGCACGAAGCAGTTTGGAATGAGTGACGTCCAAATCCCCATATTGTTTAAAAATCTTTGTTTTCATTTGAATGGGGTTACTTAGAATTGGTTAATGATCATAACCAATCTCTTTTTAAAGGAAAAGGGGGATTATGGTATGGAAATGAGTACTTTGTATTGGTATGGTTTTTCATTTATTGATACAAATTCAAGGTCAATTTTTGTGATATGTGTATTTCTCCTCTTGATTAAGTATTGTGCTGTAAAGGGAAACCTTTTCCTTGAGAGAAGCCTTCCTGCCAGCCTGGTTCTAGAGCCGCATCAGTCCCAAATAAACACACAGGAGGCTATATTAATTATGAAGCTGTTGGCCTTGCTTGTTTCTTATTGGCTAGCTCTGACTTAAGTAATTACCCCATAATTGTTAATCTAAGTATTTCTCTTACCAGAGAACTTTCTGGGCTTTCTACCCCATGGCATTACATCTTGACTCTCTGTGTTTCTCCTTCCCAGAGTCCTCCTGGACTCCTAGTCCCACCTATCTTGATTCCCTATTGGCCAGCAGTGCTTTATTGACATATACACAGGACTTCCCCAACATTGTGCTTATACTGATCTTTTAAAATGTAATGCATAATTGAATACAGACTATAGATAGTTACTTATAATAGAACTTATAGTTAGGTAAGTTAGGTTTTCTAAATATATAGAGATGTATTTGAGATAGATAGTCTTAAAACCTTTCAAAGACCTTCAGAAAATGGCATTTACAATGGTTTATAGTTTTTCTTGACAATGGGAAATGTCTGCTCCTGGTAGCACCAATTACGTCTGAGAGGAAGATGGGCATCGAAGAAACTCGTTATGGAGTTTGCTTTCAACATGGCAAGATTAGCCATTTGGGCAAGAAACTGCTCTTGCCTAGACTGCTTGACTGTTGCTGTATAAACTGGACATGCAGGACCCACAGGAAAGTGACTGCTGAACTCAAACAGTTATACAGGGTTCCTGCTTCATGGAAGAGTCTTTGAAACTTTCTGCAGGACACAGAAAATTGAATGACAGACTGCCAATGCAAATGGACAGTTTGAGACTTCCTGCTTTGCTGAGAAACCTTCCAGATGCACTGTGGCCTATGGGATGAAGATGGATGCCCCAACGTTACAGAGGAACTTCAGGTGACTGTCCAGGCAGCAAGATGTCTCTGTCAATCCTAGTGTTTATATATTATCCTTCTGTGGTCTTTGATGGAGTTGAAGACAGATAGCTATAATTATAGTTTTCCTTAGTTATGATAAAAGATAAGCTACATATAGAACAACTTTGGACTCACAAGGATGAGATGGATGATATTTTCTTTAAATCTAGCTAAATGTTGATAGACAAAATATTTTAACTGTTCTTACTTGATAACTGTTCTGTTATATATAATTTGACTTTGTTAAAGTTAAGACCTTTCTTTTTGTTTAGACAGAAAAGAGGAGATGTTAGGGAAGTCCTGTGTATATGTCAATAAAGCACTGTTGGCCAATAGGGAAGCAACATAGGTGGGACTAGGAGTCCAGGAGGATTCTGGGTAGGAGAAACAATGGAAGTCAAGATATAACCGCCATAGGGACACGAAGCCTGGAAACTTCTCTGGTAAGAGAAAATACTTAGCTTAACAATTATGAGATAACTACCTAAGTCAGAGCTAGCCAGTAAGAAACAAGCAAGGCCAACAGCTTCATAATTAATACAGCATCTTGTGTGTTATTTGAGGACTACAATGCGGCAGAGCCCAGGCGACTGGTGGAGAAAAAACCAAAGCGGCAGACAAGAAAAAAGCATCTCTCTACACTAACCAAACAAGTGAAAGACCTGTATTGTAAGAACTTTGAGTCTTGGAAGAAAGAAATTAAAGAATATACCAGAAAATGGAAAGATCTCCCTTGCTTTTGGATAGGTAGGATCAACATAATAAAAATGGCAATCTTGTCAAAAGCAATCTACAGATTCAATGCAATCCCCATCAAAAATACCGGCACAATTCTTCACAGACCTTGAAAGAACAAAACTCAACTTTATATGGAAAAACAGTAAACCCTGGATAGCCAAAACAACCCTGTACAATAAAGTAATTTCCAGAGGCATCCCCATCCCAGACTTCAAATTCTATTATAGAGGTGTAGTCCTGTAAACAGCTTAGTATTGGCACAAAAATAGACAGGTAGACCAATGGAATAGAATTGAGCACCTTGATATCAACCCACACACCTATGAACACCTGATTTTTGACAAAGAAGCTAATATTATACAATGGAAAAAGAAAGCATCTTCAACAAATGGTACTGGCATAACTGGATGCTGACATGTAGAAGATCTATGTCTATCACTATGCACAAAACTTAAGTCCAAATGAATCAAAGACCTCAACATAAATCCAACCATACTGAACCTCTTAGAAGAGAAAGTGGGAGGTACCCTTGAAAGAATTGGTATAGGAGTCAACTTCCTAAACATAATACCAGTAGCACAGGCACTGAGATCAACAATTAATAAATGGGACTTCCTGAGACTGAGTAGCTTCTTCAAGACAAAGGACACAGTCAACAAGACAAAATGGTAGCCCACAGAATGGGAAAATGTGGGAACACCAGACCTTGAGCAGAGACCCACTTCCCCTTCCGCCTGGGAGTAGGCAGCTGTAAGACAATGTTTACTAAAAACATGTTTACTAAAAACAATACAATGCCCAGGGCAATAAGTTCCTGGAAAAGGCCTGTCCACGGAAACCACCCTGACCTCTACCTTGTCTAAAGACTAACCGCCTCTTCTGACACGCCCAGATCAGTTTTTGGTGTCAGAGCAGAACCAGCCAGGGTAGAGGAGAGAGCAGAAGCTTTTCTGGAGGGAGCCTTTCTTAGGAAGTTTTCTTGAACCTTTTTGGGGCCTGCTTAAAGTTTGCTTTACATCGTTGAACGAGTCTCTGTGTTGTCAATCCCCGACACCCTCCGCACGTTCTCCGACACAGGCTTCGTGGCAGACGCAACAGGAAAAGATCTTCACCAACCCCATATCTGACAGAGGACTGATTTCCAAAATATACAAAGACCTCAAGAAGCTAGTCACCAAAACACCAAACACCCCAATTAAAAGTGGGGTATAGAACTAAATAGAGAATTGTCAACAGAGGCTGAAAGACACTTAAGAAAGTGCTCAACATCCTTAGCCATCAGGGAAATGCAAATCAAAACAACTCTGAGATGCCATCTCATACCAACCAGAATGGCTAAAATCCAAAACACCAATGACAATCTATGCTGGAGAGAATGTGGAGAAAAGGAAATAGTCCTCCATTGCTGGTGGGAGTGCAAACTTGTATGGCCACTTTGAAAATCAGTATGGTGGTTTCTCAGGAAAATGGGAATCAGTGTACCTCAAGATCCAGGAATTCCACTCTTGGACATACACCCAAAGGTTGCAAATTCATATAACAAGGACATCTGTTCAACTATGCTCATAGCAGCATTGTTTGTAATAGCCAGAACCTGGAAGCAACCTATATGCCCCTCAACCGAAGAATGGATGGAGAAAATGCGGTACATTTATACAATGGAGTATTTCTCAGAGGGGGAAAAAAAACAATGAAATCTTGAAATTCACAGGCAAATGGATGGAATTGGAAGAAACCATTCTGAGTGAGGTAACCCATTCACAGAAAGACAAACATGTATGTACTCACTCATCGATGGATATTAGACATAGAGCAAAGGACTACTAGAATACAATCCATACCACCTGAGAAACTAGGAAACAAGGAAGACCCTAAGAGAGACATTCATGGTCCCTTGAAGAAGAAGAAATGGACAAGCACTCCTGAGCAAATTGGGAACATGGGGTGGGAGGATAGGAAAAAGAGAAGAGGAAGGGGGAAGGGAACAAGAGGGATCCAGAAGACTGAGTCAGGGGAGGAATAGAGGAGAGCAAGAAAAGATACCTTAACAGAGGGAGTCACTATAGGTTTAAAGAGAAATCTGGCATTGGGGAAATGTTCAGAAATCTACAAAGATGACCCCAACTAAGAATCTAGGCAGTAGTGGAGAGGTCACCTTTGATGCCATTCCCCTATAATGAGATTGATAACTACCTTAACTGCCATCCTAGAGCCTTCATCTAGTAGTTGATGGAAGCAAAAGCAGACACCCACAGCTAAACACTGAGCAGAGCTCCTGGAATCCAGTTGTAGAGAGGGAGGAGAGATGAGTAAAGGAGTCAAGACCTTGCTGGAGAATCCTAGAGGACCAGCTGACCTGTCCTAGTGAAAGCACAGGGACCCTGGTTGTAAAGCTAGAGAAACAGCATTGGACTGAAGAAAGCCCTCTGAATGTGGGTGCCAGTTAGGAGGCCTGGATACTCTATGGGTCCTCTAACAGTGGAACCAGTATTTATCCCTAGTGCACAAATGGACTTGGGAGACCATTCCCTGTGGAGGGATACTCTCTCATAGATACACAAGGGAGGGCCTAGGCCCTGCCCCAAATAATGTGACAGACTTTAATGATCCCCCATGGAAGGCCTCACTCTTCTTGGGGAGTGGATGGGGGGTAGGATGGAGGGTTGGTGGGGGCCATGGGAGGATGGAAGGGAGAGGGAACTGGGATTGGTTTATAAATACATCCTGGCCACCATGAATGTTCTGTTCCTTCATGCCCTTCTCATATGGAATGAACCCTTTGCAACCACAACCAATATAAATCTTTATCCTTTTAAGCTACTTTAGTTGGCTGACTACCTCTAAGAGCAGAGTAACTAATTGGAATGGGTTTGTGAGTTAGATTTAACACTGTTTCCACCCAAAGGCCAGATGGATGACCCCTTCAGTTAAATATTTCAATAGTCGAAAGTTTCTACTCAGAGTGAAAAAGAACAGATTTCAATAAAAAATTTTCAACCACTAAATTGAATGTATACAGCATACATATCATTGCTATCACAGATGTGTGGACACACAAACATATACACATATGAAATACATGAGTCAGACAAATTTTAAAACAAGACCAAGTTTACCTTTGTAAGTTATGAAGGTATACTTACTATGTTTATATGCTTTTTTTCTTGATCTGAATTGGTCTTCAATAATTTAAAGTATTTACTCTTCTGGAATAAGCTTGGCTGCTTTTAATATGTATTTTTAAGAGAAAATAAACAGAAAAATAGACCAATGATATCTGCTATTATATGTTACCTTGAATATCACTTTGATGAGTATTTTATTATAGACAGTCAGAAACTGTAACTTATTTTGCTGCAGTCTTGACATAAAAAGGATCATTTGATCCCAAGCTAACACAGTATATGATCATTAGTTGGGATGTTTTGAATAGCTCACTCTAATATATGAATGTCAGTTTACAGTATTTGCATGCATATATATTTATTAATAAATATGTAGAATTCCTGTGACCTTTCTTTATGGTAAAATCAAGTTTTGAATATACCACTATCATTTCCCCTGGTCATTAACAATATTGAGGTGAGAAAAAAAATTGATCAAGTTGAAACAGCATTCTGTGTAGCTGGAGGTTTCCCTGTGCGGTGCCCGTCAGTCCTGCAGCCACTTATAAAATAATCACTCAGAGGCTTAATATTTATTGTAACTGTTTGGCCAATGGCTAGCTCCTACATTTAAATGAACCCATTTCTATTAATCTGTATATTGACGTGTGGCCAAGGCGTTACCTCGTTTTCTATGTGTCTTGCTTTCTCAGTGGCTGCTGGTGTCTTCCTTACTCCACCCTTCTTCTCCCTGTCATCTCTGCTTGGATTTCCCACTTGGCTCTATTCTACCTGGCTATTGGCCAAGTCAACTTCTTTATTAGCCAATGCCTGTAAAAACATATTCACATCCCACGTCCCACATCAGCAGTCCGGTTGCACAAGTTCTCATTTAATGCTCTCCAAATGTGGCCATTAACAAAGAGGATAGTTTTCTAGCCAAGCATCCCGGTTCACAAGCAAACACTTCCATGCAGGAGCATCACATCACATCATTCTCTTCTGGTTACACTGTTTCCTATTCTGGAAACAACAGTTTAGCCATTAACTGCTGAGGTGGATCTGTCTGCCCTTTGCAGGAGGAACTGACCAGCTTAGTGAAAACGGTCCTCATGTATCTCAATGAAACTGAAGCTTGGATTGGAAGATGTGTCAGATACCTAAACGTAAAACATTTAAGGCTATTTTACTAGAAATTAAAAGCGTTTATTTTATATGCTTTAATACACACCTCCCCCCAGTTTTTGGAAGGCAAAAGAAGGCATTTGTTTTACAACAGACCACCAATAGGCTTTCTCTCATCCATCTGTCTTACAGAGGGCTCCACATTCCTTCCCCCTGTGTTGTCATCAGCCTAGCAGTGTCATCTGTTTGTGGTGGTTCTCAAAAAAATGAGGCATTGCTGATTTGACAACAGATTTCATGCTGTCAGATCCAACCTAAGAAGAATGGATGGGCTTGGCAGTTGTGCAAGATTTTGGCAACTTGGTGAATTCTTCCTGATGGCCCTTGTGGGTGAGTATGCAATCCTTGGGGTTCCTTGAAAGCTCGTCTTACCTTCCATTAATGACATGCATGCAGCAGCAGCAGCAGCTTCCTCAACCATCATGGTTGAAAGCTTGACCAGGTCTGAGCCTCCTTTAGACTCTGCTAAGGTTGAGAAATGACCTTTTCTTTTTCATCCTATATCACCAGACCAACAAAACTTAGCCTTTGAATTTAAATTTCCATTTATACTATTAATCTTATGAAATACCTTCTTTTCATAGTTATAGGAAATTTAATCACAGGAAAGGATGGAAACATGCAAAAATAACAGTTTAGCCAGGTTGAATTGTCTATTTGACCTGCAATTAATTTTCTCTAAATTTAATATCACTCCATTATTTACAGTAACTGCATTCTCTTATTCCACACTGTAACATGCCTTTGGAGAGCTTTCCCCCTGACCACCTGTTTGTAGCTGGAGTTGCTAGTTTCATTACTGAACCAAATCCAGTGCCACTGATTGGTCACAGCCAGTGACTCCTGGAGACTTTTCTAATCCAAGTAGGGTGGGAACTATGGAGGAGGAGACAGCTGTGTACTAGAGGTATTTATTGGTTAGAAATTACGATTATTATATAAGTCTATCTTAAATCCCCCTTACATAACAAGTGCATTTGGAAATCTGTTCCCGTGTTTGCCTTTTATGATAATCAAGGATTTAACTCTTCTAGTCAAGATGATTTATACTTTTGATACTAGATTGCAACTTCCAGAGTTTGACGACTGTTACATGACAGAAATTCTTGGATTTCAGTTTACTCTCACACTTGCCCAAGGAGGAACTCACCGATGTTGCAAAATAGCAATTGTTCTGGCCACATTGATTCTGAAAAGAAGTCATTCCTAATGAGTAATTGGTAATGAGGAGATCAGTGGGGCCACAGGCTCTCACTGGGGGTGGGGTGGGGGGAGGGTCAGTGCTCTCACTGGGGGGCATTTCTAATGAGTAGAGTGGTGAAGGCACAAGCCTTTGCTGGTTTGTGTCTCAGGACCACCCACTGAGAAGTGGGCAAAGGCAGGAAGGCTCTTAGCCACTGTTTAAAGAGGCTGCACCTGTCACACAGCTGTGGTGACCGGCTTACCGGAAGCATGGCTTGCAGAGAGTGGGCTCATCAATTACTTTCTCCCAGGAGGTGTAAATGCTCTGCTGCTTCAAGAATGCCTCTGCAGAGTGTTAAGGCCAGCAATGTGTTTAATGGGCTTCTCCGTGATTCTACTGTGTCTTTTATCTTCCTTACCCTGTGAGGAGAATGAACAAGTGATTTCTAAAGACAGAGAAACCTAGTCAAATCTTTAAAAAAATTAAAAACCCCAACAAATCAAAACGAAAGTAAAAAACATGATATACAGTGTAGCAAAATTTGCCCATGGGTGCGATAATGACATTAATGTTATCAAGATTACCAGCTGCTTCCTGATGGGATTTAAGACCCACTCTAGCTGGGTGGTGGTGGCGGCAGCGCATGCCTTTAATCCCAGCATTGGGAGGCAGAGGCAGGCAGATCTCAGTGAGTTCAAGGCCAGCCTGGTCTGCAAAGTGAGTTCCAGGACAGCCAGGACTGTTACTGTTACACAGAGAAACCAAAAGGTAAAAGAAGAAAAGAAGAAAAAAAGACCCACTCTATAGTATGTATGGCTAGTACCTTATCTGGTCAATAATTCATGGCTGGGCAGCTCACAGGCCTCATGGGTGAACGCATTACCATTAGTTTTCAGTGTCCTCTAAATTTGCATCTCTATATCCATGTATTAATGCCTCTCTCAGTTCTCACCAGAGAAGTTTCTTCATGTAGTGGATAGTGGTTGATTCAGCAACTCATAACTGGTTAAAGCAGAGAGAATAAATGTCTGTGGAGTGCTCAGCCCCAAGTGGGACATCTATACCACACATTGTTCCCTTAAGGCTCAACGACCATGGAGGAAGAAGGGGCAGGAAGGACTGGAGCAAAACAGCATCTTCTGGACATGACAGGATTGATGCACTTAATGAACAGCAGTTGTGGTTGCCTGTACAAGACCTTCATAAGAGTAAGCCAGTCATCATCCCAGCAAGGATAGGAGAGGACTTCACAAGTTCCCTCCTAGCTGAGGAACTGATGGCAGCTGATGGCTTCTGGGGGCTGGAAAGCCAATTCTCTTAAGGGTGTGGCCAGTAGGAGTCAACCATGCTCCAATGGATGATTCCACCACACCCATGAGTATATGGGCAGCATAAATTAGACTCTGTGGGTTTTATATATAATAATAATAAAAAGACATGAAGTTGGGCAGGGTTGGGGAGGTGGGGTGTGGATATAAGAGGAGTTAAGGGGAGCAGTAAGAGTGTAGTTACAATAAAAATACATTGTACACATATGAACGTCTCAAAGACAACAAAAATATATTTTAAAAACACAGCGTGTCTCCACCAAAGTATTATTTAGCAATGAAAACAAATGCGCTTCAGGTATACACAAGCATGAGCACAATGTATAACCATAAAGTTAAGTAAAAAAATTAAATACAAAACTATTAGGTATGTTGATTTATTTAAAGTTCAGGAAAAGAAATATGCCCATAGATATTTTTTAAAAGACAACAATTAAGAATCAAAGAAGTGATTATTATGAAATAGTAACAGTCATTGAATCCAGGTGAAGCAAGGTGCAGACTGGAGAGATATATGGGAAAGTGACTCTTGATTTGATAGCAAGATTTCATCTCCAAACTTGTATGGAAGGAACATGAGTGTTCGCCTCCATCCTGCACTATTCTTAAACAAGTTCTGTTTTTCAGTAAATATAAGCTAAAATCCAATTATATATCTCTCTTAGGGCCCTCTTTGTTCCCCAACTTCTCTGGCGGTATGGACTGAAGACTGGTTATCCTTTGCTCTATCTCTAATATCCACTTGAGTGAATACATACCATGTTTGCCTTTCCATGTCTGGGTTACTACACTCAGGATGGTTTCTTCTAGGGTTACCATTCTCAGGAATCAGAGCTTTTTATTTTATTTTTCATTCCCTGGGGGTTTGCATAAAATGAATGACACATTTTTTTATTCCATAATTGCTGCAACGTTTTAAATATCTTTGCTGAATGTGCTGTCATTTTCCTTATGGTGTCATATCAAGTGAGAGATTAATGGGAGTGTCTGCATATTTTGTTGATACTGGCAACTTATAGGAGCATGTATTAAAGACAAGTTAGGACAAATATTCCCCTGGCAGCTCTACTTTCAGACTAGGTTCCCAAATTCCACTGGAAAACACTTGAACTGGTAGAAGAACTCTTTTGTGCTGCTGTGTATTGGAGGAGTCAGGGGTTTATCATCAGACACCTGTGCAGTTTGAAGGTCAACTTGCACTCTGTATTTCCCTGAACCTGTGGTTAACATATCTAAGGAAGTGAACCTGCCCAGAGCAGACCCACTAAGAACAAGAGCATAGGTACCTTTCTGACTGATGCACTTCTGGCTCAATGCTCTGAGCCTAGACATCACTTAAACAGATGATGAAGATTAAACTGTTTGAGGTCTTGTATTGCCCTTGCATTCAACTGTTTACGTGAAGACTTGGTTACTAGGTTGAGAAAAAAAAATTGCAATTAAACATATTAAAGTAAATGCATCCATTGCAGATACTGCACAGTTCTAACTCCAACAGAAGTAACTACAATGAATTCTGTTGTGGATCATTCCAGATGTTATCTGTGTTTGTGCACCCACACATGTTTTCCCCTCCCGTATGATGACATCATCTATATTGCTCTTCCCAAACCCTTCTTTTTAATTTAGTAGACAATTTTCCAAAACAGTAATAAAGATGAATGTACACGTCTACCATATTTTGTAAGGGTTGTATTATGCAAGTGGATATTTAGTCCTGGTACTCGGCAGAGGAATTTAGATTTTCCATCACACCCATGCATCGTCCTCCCTTAATATATTCTCTGTCTACCTTCCTGTAGCTACCTGATTTCTTGCCTATAAATCACTTGTCTTTGAGCATTGATTACACACTAGAATCGCTTGAAAGTTTTTACAGAATTCCACTGCATGGGCAAGTTTGGATGACTTCAGCTAAGTTTTTCAGGTAGGACACAGGCTTCAATATATTTTGCTGTTTGCTTTTGAGATATGCCCTTTGCTGAAGCATAGAACCCTCCTTTTGGGTACTGGGATTGCAAGTGTGTGTTATTCACCCTGTCATCAGCTACACCACCCAGGGGAGCACATCTGAACAGCAATAGTTAGGAACAAAAGTTTAAACAGGATTTCTAGTCGTTTTAATGTTACGGATACCTTGGCGTCTACTGCGTGGTGGAGCAATGATTATCAGGCTTACGAGGCAGAAGATTCGCTCTCTGTCCACTGCCCTTTCTTCTCTGCCTCCCCCTCCTCTTCTCACCTTCGCTCTCAACAATTGCTCTTTATTTTAATTTTCCTGCGTGTATTGAGTATCCACCCCCCTGTGTAATTAGCACAAATAATCAGCAAGATAGGACCTGTGGTACTAAGCCACACCTAGGTTGTGTTGTGAGTAACCCAGGGAAGTGGTGGCAACCCCACATTTGCACGCTCCTTGTCACAATGCCCTCCATATATAAGAATTTCATAATAAGTAAATCCAATATATGAAACATGTGAATGCTTCCTCGTGGTTAGTGTGTGACCTGAAAGTTACCTCTCTCTATCTATTGAAGTGATGAATAGCTAACACACTTGACTTGACATGCCTGGGATGGGGTGTTCACTACGACTCAGGATGATTTTATTTTTTGAAAATTAATAACAAAAAATTTGTTCTGCCCTATTAATAACTGAGCAGGGGAAAACAAAGGCTTTATTCAGCTGTAACCTGTAAACTCAAAGGAATTATGCCTACTTCTGCTGCAGTTAAAGCAAAACAATTGATAATATGACTATGGGCCATAAAACTACAGAAAAACATGATGTCGGTCATTCATTAATTCTGATATTGGCATGAAAGGAAAAAACACAAAACAAAGAAGGGATTAAAGAAAGTAACCCCTGCCAGGCAGTGGTGGTGCACGCCTTTAATTTCAGCACTCGGGAGGCAGAGGCAGGCAGATCTCTGTGAGTTCGAGACCAGCCTGGTCTACAGAGCGAGTCCTAGGACAGGCTTCAAAGCTACACAGAGAAATCTTGTCTAGAAAAGCCAAAAAAGGAAAAAGAAACAACTGCTGTACATACAGCAGAGGTTCCCAGTGAGCTATGAGGTGGTTGGGAAAGACCCTATCATGGGCTTCCTTGGATCATACCCCTGTCTTCATTATACTTGGGCCTCCTGGAAGTACACCCCTGCCGTGCCACTATGTGTTCTGTTGAACATCCTACAGCTGTTTCCAACTGTAAGACCAAGTTCCATTTCCTTTTTTTGAAGACAGTGTCAGATTATTTAATAGCATATAATGTCACATAGAATTGTCAAGCTTTTCAGTATTCAAATCACCAGTACCAACCAGCCTTTTGTGTACATGCACGTGTGAGACCCAGAGAATGTAAAAAGACAAAGTTATATCCCACAAAATTCCTAACTACAGCAAAGGAATTAGGGGCCAGAAGAATAATTTGCTAAAATTTACTACTTACTGACAAACCAGAAAATAATTTGAGTCCATTTAAGTATACTTTTGTAGTCTTGATTATTTTTTCAGTAGAGTTTGCTTTATAAACCCTTTTGAGAAGGCTGGTGATCCCTGAATTTTTACATACAAGCATTTACTTGAATTTTAAAAAGTTCTCTTTGGCATTTGTCCTTATACCCACAAGTATAAGTGTAGTCCCAACCCTATATCAAGGATGCTTATGGTGATATGTTGTTTATGATCTAATAAAGGATCAGAATGCAAAGCTAGCCACAACCATAGAAGCTGGGCAGTGGTGACACACACCTTTAATCCCAGGACTCAGGAGACAGAGGCAGATGGATCTCTGTGAGTTCAAGGCCACTCAGGGCTACACGAGAGTGAATTAGTCTAAAAGAGAAACAGAGTTTATGCCTTTAATCCCAGCACTAGAGAGGTGTATAATGAAGAAGTAAAGGATCTCATGGGAGATTCAGTTTCCAGTCACAGGGAAGACAGGCTCTCCATGTCAGCCTTGTTAGAGGTAAGAGCTACTGGCTGACTGCTTTGCTTTTCTGATCTCCAGCTTGAACCCCAATATCTGTCTCTTTATTATTTGTGTTACAGATGCTTCTGTCGAAAAATACTGAGACCATCACAGAACACCACAACCAATCAAAATGTAAAGTTGTAGAGCCCAGCCCCAATAGTTACGTCTACAAAACACTCCACTGCCCAAGGCTCAGATCAGAGAACATTGTGGAAGAGAAACCAGAGAGATTATAAAAGCCAGAGGATCAGGGAAATTGCATCTCCCACATTCATAATGTCTCACCAACATAACTGCCTAAACATGTACTGAACAAATATGACACAGACAGACATACCAAAGTAGATATGGAAAGATCATGAGGATTCAACCCTACACAAAGAACTAGAGGCAACTAAGGAATGCTGAGAGTGGGAGAGATGTTTCCCAGAGGGAAAAGCACACCAAATGGTTATCCAGTACCAAATGACAAGCCCTGACAGCATCAACTGAGTAACATATAGAATATATATGCATAGACATGTACATATATGCATGGAATACAATTAATGGAAAGAAAAAACAGGTCATGAACTTGAAAGAGTAATGAGGGATTTGGTGGGAGGAAAGGGAAGGGAGAAATGATGTAATTTTATCATAATCTCAAAAATAGAACAACTTTTTAAAAATTCTGTTTTGTACTGTGTTTCTTCCCAACCTTCACTGATACCAGACTTTTTCTTTCTTTCTTTCTTTCTTTCTTTCTTTCTTTCTTTCTTTCTTTCTTTCTTTCTTTCTTTCTTTCTTTCTTTCTTATCTGGGTTTTGATGGCACAATCAGCACAAAGTAATCTGTTCTTATCTAATTGCAACACTGTTTCTTATCAGTTTTCGACTATTGCATCATCCTTTGATTGGTGATTGGGCACTGTCAGTCTTTCCATTTGAAGCTGTGTGCCTTAAAGGATGGCAGCCTAACTGAAGGGTAGGCTTACCCACTTATCTGAAGCAGCCAACTCTTAACCTTATGCAGTTTTCCTTAGTTTATGTAGGTGGCACCTGGAATAAACCAAATTGGTCTAAACCTATTTTAATTACTTTCTTAACAATCTGGTATTGGTTTCATTAATAACTTTTGTCTCACATCAAATAAATCACCTTTTCTCTTTCCTGTTTACTTCCATGATAAATGGATTTATATGCCACTTCCAGGCAAGGCATACTTGTTTTTAGCACTTAGCTCCATGGCATACTGCTAACTCTGCTTACACATGAGACGAGCATGTCTTAAATGTAGCTCTAAAATACAATTCCAGAATCTCCCAGCAGGCCCTACAAGTCAGTCAGCCCCTCCTGTTCCTGCTTTTCAAGCTGCTCCTCCAATCCCACCTGACCTGAACATAGGAAACCACACATTGCGAATATATATGTCTTCATTTTGCCTAACTTCTAAGTTCAAACATAGATGAGAAAGATTGGATGCCTGCTTCAGGCTGATGAAAAAGATTGGATGCCTGTTTCAGGCTGCCAGCTCCTTAAGAGCCATAGCTTTGAAATACTTAACTTTGATTTTTTTTTTCAAGACAGGGTTTCTCTGTATTGTTTTGCAGGCTGTCCTGGAACTCACTTTGTAGACCAGGCTGATTTCGAACTCACAGAGATCCATCTGCCTCTGCCTCCCCAGTGCTGGGATTAAAGGTGTGTGCCACCAACACCTGGCTTTACTTTGATTTTTGCTGCTGCTGAGAGCCAGCATTTTGGAGGTCAAGAACTGGAGAGAGGTGTGGAATCGGCGACTGGTCACACAATAGGCTTTCTTCTCTAAGGGAGCAAAACTTAATTCTCTGGGGCTGGTCTCCACTCTCTGTCTCTGTCTCTCTGTCTGTCTCTGTCTGTCTGTCTGTCTGTCTGTCTGTCTGTCTCTCTCTCTCTCTCTCTCTCTCTCTCACACACACACACACACACACACACACACACACACACACACACATCTCCAGCATGTCAGGGTCTAACTTAGGATGCTGCTGCTGAGAACCAGCTCTGCACAAGTGAGGAACTGAAGAGAAAGTGCGAGTCATCGAACTGAGGTTTACTTTTCTTTTTGCTGGTTGTTCTGCTCTATTATTTCTCTCTTCTGTCCTTCTATCCTGATGCTTCCTGTTTTCATCTCCCAGTTGTTCTCTTTTTACATCTTTCCCAATGTTTCCCTTTTGTCTCTTCCCTGACGGATTCCTTGTACATCTTTCCTTATTATTTTCTTCCCATAAAGGAAATATACCCCAGCAAAATCTTTCAAGCATTATAAAAATTATAGTGTATTTACCTTCTATTTTTCTTCAAGTAAATAATTATATTGAATACAAGTAAAAATCAGCATGTTCCTAAATATCCTTATATGTTTAAACATTTTATGTATCACAGGTGAAAAACAAATGATTCCCAAGGGCCCACATATATTCATATCTAGGCAACTTGCTATAGATTAACAAAGTGTAAAAAAAGTACTTTTCTCAGCCAGTTCCACTACTAGCAGGCTGTTGTTTGTGGTTACAAAGAAAAGTTCAATCATCTTATTATTTATCTCAAAAGGTAATCTTATAAAAATATCAAAAGAGCTACAAATATGAATTTTTCTATAAAAATCAGTCATTTCTACTTTAAGTTCTCATAATGCACACCCATTCATCAACAATTTTTTATTAAGTCCAATAGTGAAGAGACTACCCTAAGTGCCCATCCCTGATAATGAGTTGGACGACAACCTTATATGCCATCCTAGATCCTTTATCCAGGGACTGATGGAAGCAGAGGCAGACACCCATAGCTAAACACTGAACTGAAACCATGGAAACCAATGACAGAAAAGAAGGAGTGCTGAGCAAAGGGGTAAAGAATGGGCTGGTGAAACCAACAAAAACAGTTGACCTGAACAAGGGGGAGCTCTTGGACCCCAGACCGACAGCTGGGATGACAACATGGGACTGATCCAGACACCCTGAATGTGGTGTCAGTGAAGAGGCCTGGACACTCTATGGGGCCCTGGGCAGTAGATCAGTGTTTATTCCTGGCACACAAATGGACTTTGTGTGTCCATTAACACAAAGAGGGATGCTCTCTCAACCTGGGCTTTTGGGGGAGGGCATAGGCCCTGCCCTGAACGAAATGACAGACTCTGGAGATCCTCTGTGGGGAAAGGAGGGGAGATGGGTGGGAGGATAGGGTTGTTGGTGGGAGGAGGGAAGGGAGAGGGAGAGGGAGCTGGGATTGACATGTGATGCAAGCTTGTTTCTAGTTAAAAAATGTAATTAAAAAAGAAAAGAAATATTAAATCATATCAGGAAGCTGAGGGCAGAAATGGGTACAAAGAATTAATCATCACCTTTGGTCACCAACCCGTCTT